CAACAGTAAAAGAGTGGGACTTAAATGCCAATCTAGTAGCATGCTTAAATCCATGTAGTCGGGGCATCAGTGAAAAAAAACTTGTCGGAACCGTTGACATGAAAATAACAGTAGAAAAGTGTTATATACCGTGCCTATGACCACTAATACTTATGCTGCACTCCTCATAAATACGTTGTACATTATTGTAAGTGGGGATATTATGCTGTGTAAGTAGTCCACCACTAGCAGGGGTTTACCGACTTCACGCCGCTGGCGAGTATTGTATTTTGTTGATGTTTTAAAGATTACCATTTCATTTCCAACATCCATTTGGTTATTTCTCATTCAGTAACCTTTTTAGGATGAAACAACTACATTTAGATCTTGTTCTACACGGTCGCGCCATCAACGCCAAAGTCCAAAGTTAATATTAATTTGGCCAGAAAATCCTGACTCACTTAAAAAGCAGAAAGAAAACAACAAACCTTGATCTCTGTCTGGTGGAATTCCTAAGGAGTACTAGTGTTATATACCGTACCTATGAATACTAATGGGCATGTCCCAATCCTCATAAATACGTTGGATACTATTGTAAGTGGGGGTAATATGCTGTCTAAGTAGACACCCAATAGAAGTGGTTTACCTACTTGACGCCGCTGGCGAGTATTGTATCTTGTTGATATTATAAAGATTACCATTTTCATTTCCAACCTCTGTTTTGGTCATTCCCCATTCAGTAACCCTTTCTAAGTTACAACTGATAGATAGATAGATACATAAGGAAAAAAGATAGTGTTATATTCCGTACCTAGAAACACTATAGCCCAATCTTCAGAAATACGTTGGACACTATTGTAAGTTGGGATAATATGTTGTCTATGTAGTCCACCACTGGCAGTGGTTTACCTAATTCACGCCGCTGGCGAATATTGTATTTTGTTGTCGTTATAAAGACTAGCATTTCATTTCCTACCTCCGTTTTGCTTAGTCCTTATTCAGTAAACTTTTCTAGGTTAGAACATTGGTTAAGATCATTGGTTATGATTTTAAAACAAACGCAGAACAAAAAGAATCTCTTTAAAAAATAATAACGATAAATCAGAAGAATATACCATCTGAAATCATGAATATTACTTGTTGTTCACTTAGGTTGTAAAGCTTATATGTGGATCAAATTCTGGTGGCTTTGTGTATTTCAAAAAAAAAAATAAATCAAAGTGACCGTTATTTGTCAAATTTTGTGTAGATTTCTCTTCATGCACTTACAAACGATTACTTTTTAATAATTACAATGATATATCATCAGTTTGTTTTCTGATAGAAAAAAATGGTTGACTTGGGATACGACTCGTACTACAAAAAGCGAAGGCTAAGCACAACACCACCACCACTAACACCACCACTAATAATAATAATAATAATAATAATAATAATAATAAGAGACTGGTTGTTATGTGCATACTAGACATTGTATATTTCTACCCAGCGTTATATTTTTGACGTACATCACTCTCATTCAATAATAATAATAATAATATTAATAATATAATAATAAGCTGAATACGGAGCAGAACCAAAAAAAAAAAAAAAAAAAACAATAACAAAAAAAACAAACAAAAAAACCCCAGAATATCAGGCATAAACACTTTGTCTGTCCCTGTGTTGCAATACAGTTTCAACATTCTTAACTGGACCATAGCTGACATTAAACGAATGGACGCCAAAACGAGAAAGCTTCTCACCTGCCACCTCATGCATCATCCCAAAGCTGCTGTTGATCGTCTGTATGTGCCCAGATCCGAAGGAGGCAGAGGATTTGTTCAAAGCCATTTGCTGCTTTCGAAACTTGCGTCGTAGTTTCTGTTGTTACCGTTCGTTATGATTCTGTAGCGCCAGACCACAATGTTCAAAGAAGTGTGGTCTTTGCCAAAACAGACTTCACTCGCTCAAATCCTCTTCATAAAGACAAGAATTCATCTTTTTTTCCCCGCTAAAAGAGCAAGTCATATTGTGCACTCTTTTCTTAGTTGACAGCTAGTCTAGGAAAAAAAAACCACTGATTTAAACGTGATAGCAGATATTTGTGGAACACTATTTCTTCCGAGTCGCTTCTTCAACAGTAGCCTTCTCTGGTCTATGCAAATTCAGTATAGCTGTTCTCGTAATAATTAAACTGTTCAAACCCACATATGTCGAATCGATAGGAAGGGCGGCTGACAATAATTTAAATGATGTTTTTTTATTACACGAGTCTATCGATTTTAAATACCATTTCTTTTATATTTCATTTTCTCAACACATACTCATAAAAAATGTATCGGGACTGGTGCTATAAAAAACTACAACATATATCGATTCAGCATTTGATTTCCTTCGAAGTAGCCTCCTTCTGAAGCCACACACTTTATCCAGCGTAGTGTCAATTGATGGAATCATTGCAGGAAATCAATTTTTGAAGAAATAATTGGCACCCGCCTCGTTGTATTCTCTTGTATTATCTCGGCGTCTTGAAATCTTATTCCTTTAAAGTGGGATTTGATTTTTGGAAAGAGGAGAAAGTCGCAAACGGCTCGATCTAGGTAATATGGTGGATTTCATGAGTTGGGATTGTTTTTCTTAGTCCAAAACGGCTGCACAAGCTATTGCAACTGTCAAAACCATCTTAGTGTAGTGAGACGACCACACTCTACACACTTTCCTTCAAAGCAGTGCTATAAACAAAGGACGTAAACGAGAACATTATATCTTAGTGTGCATGCAAGACAATGTTCAAGGTCAGTCCATGCATTTCATTAATAAAATCTCTTCAGGAGATTTCTACACAAACAAATTCTTTTATCTAACCACACACACACACACATATATATATATATATATATATATATATATATATATATATATATATATATAGTATTAATAAACTCATAAGTATAAGAAATTATACTCGTCCGGAAAACCTTCGTTGTTTTGATTTGCGAATAATCAAACCAATACCAAAGGGAAAAAAAGGGTATAAAAAAGAAAGAACCAAGAACATGTACGTTAGCCGAAAATAATAGTCAAGCATCGAAGTCCAAAGCCCAAAGAAAAAACCCATACGATTAAGCAAAATAACTAAATAAAGTGCTGAATACGGTAAGTAGAGCAGACCTAGTTAAACCTAGAGAGCCGGACAAACCTATCAAGGTTTGTCTGGTTCTCTAGGTTTAACTATATATATATATATATATATATATATTTCCTTCCAAGCATTGATATAAACAACTTATTACTCCGGTATCTTAGCAACAGTCTCGATACTTTTTTTTTTTATTAAACCTCGTATACAATATATTAACATAATATTTAAGAAGGAAGTAAAACGTGTAAGAATTTCAGTTATTCCTTCCTTAGGAGTTTCGCGAAATGGATCCAGGTGTTTTATTTGTCCCGAAATTATGAAAAAATTGCAAAATCTTCAGCTATAATCCAACTAACCTGAAATCATATTCTCTAAGACTGACCATTCTGACGGTCACAACAGTTATAAAGTGGAAACATTTTGCAAGAATACCCAAACAAATATTTCTTTCAAGTGATGTCTGATTTTTGCAAAGAGGAAAATGCCGTAACGGGCATCTGGGGAATATGATGTTTGTTGAACTTGGGGAATGTTGTACTTGATTAAAAACCATTGAACAAGCTATGGTCACTGAGAGAACCTCTGTGCTGTGAGTAGATGACCGCATTCTACACACTTTCCTTCTAAGCATTGCTATAAACAACGGATATTATCGAGAACGATATAATTAAGTGTAAAATCGCAGCATAGTTTAATGTCAATTTGTGCCAAGCGTACCTACGCTCCATTATCATAGCAATAGTCTCGGTACTTTTTGATTAAACCTCGTATAGAGTATATTACCATAATATTTAAAAGGAAGTAAAATGCTTAAGAATTTCAGTTATTCCTTCCTTAGGATGTTCGCGAAATGGTTCCGAAAAAATATAGTTTAAAAAATCCAGGTGTTTTATTTGTCCCGAAATTATCATGAAATTGCATTAATTAGCGTATCTATTGCAATAATCCAACTAATCTTAGACTGACCATTCTAACGATCACAACACTTACACGATGGGTACATTTTGCACGAATATCCAAACAATTGTTTCTTTCACATGATATTTGACTTTTGCAAAGCGGAAAATGCCGTAAGGGACGACATCTGGAGAATATGATCCTTGTCAGACCTGAGGAATGTTGTACTTGATAAAAAACCATTGAACAAGGTATGGTCACTGAGAGAACCTCTGTGCTGTGACTAGACGTCCGTACTCTACACACTTTCCTTCTAAGCATTGCTATAAACAACGGATGGTATCGAGAAGGATATAAAAAAGTGTACATGTGTTATACCGGAACATACCTATTCTATTGTTAATAGACTCTTCCACAGATAATAAGTAGTAGTAGTAGCAGTCGCCAGGGGCTCAGAGTGAGTTGGTGAGTCAGTCGATGTCGGACATTAAAGTATCAACCACCCCAACTAGATTGCTGCGTCATTAACTATTATTTCAAGTTCCTAACGTTTTGTACGTCGAACCTAATTTAGGACCGACTTAGTGAAATACAAGCCTCGACTGTGAAAACTACTCTACAACAATTTGTGCCAAGCGGCTTCACTCTGCTTAATTTATCTGTATTATCATAGCAACAGTTTCGATACTTTTTGATTAAACCTCGTATAAAGTATATTTTCATAACATTTAAGAAGGAAGTCAAATGCTTAAGAATTTCAGTTGTCCCTTCCTCAGGATGTTCGCGTGCGTGCAAAGTTTGTATCACAAAACAGTTATAAATATCAGCTTATAAAAGAAAAGAAAAAAACAGAACCTTTACCTGCAAACGTAGAAAATGTGCTAGAGACCCTTTTAGAGATTCTACAAGCAGCAAATTCTTGGAATACCATTATTTTTATTTTGTTTTCAGACATTAGCGCTGGTTTCATGCAACCGTACACTCTAAGGCTGCAGTTCTGATGATAAAAGATTTGACAAGTGAAAACACATGTCTGTACTTTTCTGTGCGCGGAAGGTGAAATAAAAGCAATTGTACATGACTATACAGTATTGTTTGGTCTTTTCATTAGGATTTTCTTTTTCTTTTCGTGCACTGACTGTTTGCATGGAAAAGGCCAAAAAACAAACTTGGGAGGAAAAAAGAAGAAAAAGTCATTTTTTTTTTCTTTCTCTGACACAGTTTTATTTTATCTTCTAACTTTTTTAAAAATTTTTTTTACTTATTGTTCGGTTTTCTTTTGTCTTTCCTTTCAAAAAAAAAAAAAAAAGAAGAAGGAAAAATGGAATTGCGTACTTTTCGGTGTCACACTTTTTCTTATATTTCTCTTTCTCTCTGCGCCACTTTCTTTCTTTCTTTCTTTCTTTCTTAGTTTGTCTTTTTTTTGCTTCTTTCTTTCATTCATTTATTCCTTAACTCTTTCGGTTTTCTTTCTTTTTATCTAATTCTTTCTATATTTCTTTCTTAGTTTATCGTTTTCTGTTTCTTTCTTCCTTCCTTTTTTTTCTTAATTTATCATTCTTTGTTTCTTTCTTTCTTTTTTCTTTCTTTCACGATTTCAGTTTTCTTTCTTAGTTCATCGTTTTTTGTCTGTTTCGTTCTTTCTTTCTTTTATTCTTTCATTAATTCATTCATTTATTTAGTTTTCTTCTTTTCTTAGCTTATCGTTTTTTCTTTTTTTTTCTTTCATTCATAGACTGTTTGGTTTCTCTTCAGCAAATTATTACACTTTTTAATTTAGGCCACAAACTCGAACTTTCGTAATTTTTTTTTTCAAATTCTTCGTTAATTCTTCCGATCCTTCATTTTCTTTTCTTTCCACGAACCATTCGTTCGTTTTGTTTTGCCTTCTTTCCTTCCGTCCTTCCTTTTGTTTTTCTTTCTTTCTTTCCTTCATTCTTTCCTTCCTTCCTTCATTCATTCATTTCTTTCTTCCTTCCTTCATTCTTTCCTTCGTTCCGTCCTTCCTTCATACTTTCCTTCCGTCCTTCCTTCCTTCATTCATTCATTTCTTCCTTCCTTCATTCATTCTTTCCTTCATTCCTTCTTTCCTTCCTTCCGTCTTTCCTTCCTTCATTCATTCTTTCCTTCCTTCCTTCCTTCCGTTCTTTCCTTCCTTCATTCATTCTTTCCTTCTTTCCTTCCTTCCTTCATTCATTTCTTCATTCCTTCCTTCCTTCATTCATTTCTTCATTCCTTCCTTCCGTCTTTCCTTCCTTCATTCATTCTTTCCTTCCTTCCTTCTTTCCTTCCTTCCTTCATTCATTTCTTCCTTCTTTCCTTCCGTCTTTCCTTCCTTCATTCATTCTTTCCTTCCTTCCTTCTTTCCTTCCTTCATTTCTTCCTTCCTTCCTTCCTTCCTTCATTCATTCATTTCTTCCTTCCTACCTTCCGTCTTTCCTTCCTTCCTTCATACTTTCCTTCCGTCCTTCTTTCCTTCCTTCATTCATTCATTCTTTCCTTCTTTTCCTCCTTCCGTCCTTCCTTCATTCTTTCCTTCCTTCATTCATTCATTCTTTCCTTCCTTCCTTTTGTTTTTTCTTGCTTCTGTCCTTCCATTTGTTTTTCCTTCCTTTTATTTTTTCTTCCTTCCTTCATTACTGCTTTATTTCTTTCAAATTTTCTTTCCATGCTATTTATAGTTTTTCCTTTTTCATTAATTCTTTCGTTCCTTCATTTCCCATTCTTTCTTCTCGCGCTTCTTTCATTCTTTCTTTTAATTCGTTTATTCATGTTACTTATAATTTCTCCTTTCTTCGTTCATTCTTTCGTCCCTTCATTTTTCTCTCCTTCGCTTTTCTTCCCCCTTCTGCCTTACTTTTCGCCTCATGTTCTTCCATATATATTTTTTTAATCGCAACCCTCATTTGCCCTCAACTCACGCCGACATCCCTTCTTTTATTTCGATGTTCCGGGCTTATCATAGCTAATCAGTGAGTGCGAAATATTAAACCAAAATGCTGTTATTCAAATCCCTAGAGGTAACATGTACAGATGTAAAAACAATCAATTTATGGCATCTATCTATCTATCTATCTCTCTTCGTCTTTTCAATAACTATCTATCTATCTCTCTTCGTCTTTTCAATATCTATCTATCTATCTATGTCTTTTCAATATCTATCTATCTCTCTTCGTCTTTTCAATATCTATCTATCTATCTCTCTTCGTCTTTTCAATATCTATCTATCTATCTATGTCTTTTCAATACCTATCTATCTATCTATCTATCTCTCTTCGTCTTTTCAATATCTATCTATCTATCTATCTATCTATCTTCGTCTTTTCAATATCTATCTATCTATCTATCTATCTATCTTCGTCTTTTCAATATCTATCTATCTATCTATCTTCGTCTTTTCAATATCTATCTATCTATCTATCTTCGTCTTTTCACTATCTATCTATCTTCGTCTTTTTAATATCTATCTACGACTTTTCAATACTATCTTCGTTTTTTCAATATCTATCTATCTCTATATCTATCTATCTCCTTCTTTTCAATATCTATCTGAATCCGTTCCTTTCTATCAATCTATCTCATTCTGTTCATAAATATCTATCTGAATATGTTCTTTTCTATCTGTCTAGCTATCTATCTCAGTTTATTTTCATTATCTATCTATATTTCAGCTGAATTTATTTATTTGTTACAGTTCATAGCAGTTTATATATATATATATATATATATATATATGTACAAGAAAAAATGGTATTAAAGAATTGGTTTTAATCCATTGTTTCTTTGTTTAGTGAATTCACGCACACACAGATATATACATATATATATGTAAGGCATTTACAAAAAATAAGAGTCTTAACAAGATCTTGTTGCTTTAAATTTTGGTTAAAAATTTCTTTATGAATTATAAATGAACCATTTACAAATCACCGCTCCCAATGCATTAATTTCTCAGTCATGAGTCCGACCCAAATTTCGATTTCGATTTCAAAAATGGTATGCCATTTAAAAAAAGAATGAAAAAAAAATGATAGATCAGTAAATATGTATCCCGATTCGTATATCATTTATCATCTGAAACGAAAAAAAATATATAAGATCGCATGAGAAACTAAAAAAAAATAAAAATAAAAATAAATCAAAAATTACCTTGTCTGTCCAGATTCGATGAAATGTGCATGAAATAAGAATTGCTGCCTAAATACACAAATATATATATATATATATATATATATATATATATATATATATATATTCATTAAATAATATAGACAAGTGTTGTCTATTTATTTTATGTAAAATTTTTCGTATCTTCTGATAAGTTTGATAACATTATCATTAACCGAAAAAGAAATTCACAATATTTATCCATTATTTTAATAAAATCTAAGCTTTCGGCTTACTCAAGCCATTATCAAAGATGTAATTACAAACATATCAAACAATATACGGACACGACAGCGATGATAGTCTGTCATTGTTTTGTTTACATAGTGGATCACTAAGCAACGATGAACACGCGCATATAAGACGCTAGAAGAAAAATCGCACTGCATCTCATGACGTCACACATGACTACACGAGAGTGAATTGTAGAATGAAATAAGGAAAGCCGTTGGTATAAACCAATGGCTTCTGTTACCAATTATAGAAATTATAGACATTTAAGAATATTTGTAGAGATTCCATAGTTGATTTTGTTTAGGTTGGGTTTTAACTGTTTGATGTATAATGCTTCAAGTATTTTTTAGTTTTTGTCTATTGTTTTCATGTCGAAGTATAGTTGTGTTTTTCGACAAGTATTTTACCGGAATTGTGTGTGCGGGCAGGCATGTTGTTTTAAATGCCTAAAAATGTTAGGGATTTTTCATTAAAATGTAGTGTCGAGCGTCGTGAAAGCGAGTTTGTAGGTGGACCAACATAAATATTATTTAATTCGTTGGAGATACACTCTCCCAAAGGGCACTTGAATTTATAAACTATGTTGGTTTTTGCAAATCGCTAACCGGGGAGAAGAATCATTGCGAAGTATTAAGTTGGATATACTAGATTTAGTGTAGTATATGATTAATTTAATTTTTTTTGCTAGGATCTGTAGTTGATATATTAGAATTTACTAAATTTTTTAGTATGTGTTCATCTTGTTTATAATTAGTATGCATTTGATTACGATATAGGAGATTAATATATTTGAGATCAGTAGAAGCAGTATTATGTACAATTTGCTTATTATTGAGATTTCTAAGAAAGCATCTTATTTGTTCATCAACTATATAGTTTGGAAAGCTATTATTAATAAGTGTCTGTTTTATATTCTTTAGTTCACTGTAAAAATCTGTTTGGTGGATGAATTAGTTTCTGCACGATGTATTAGATTCTTTATAATTGCTATTTTGTAGTAATATGGGCATTCGCTCTTGTAGTTAAGTGTGTACATGAATTTATGCTTGTAGGTTTTTTGTATGGTGAAATAGTAAATTTGTTATTATTTGTGTTTATCAATATGTCAAGGAAAGGGATTTTATTATTAGTATTGAGTTCATATGTGATTTAAGGACAGAATTATTTTGGAACCGTTTTTGAAGTTGAATTATTTCATCTGTATTTTTAACTAACATAAGAATATCATCAACGTATCTTAGGTAGATTGATGGTTTTTAAAATCTGTAAATAACTTATTTTCGAGGTTCGACATGTAGAAATTGCTAAATGTCGGGCCCAATACTGAACCCATGGAGACACCATCACGTTGTATATATATATTGTTATTATGATCGAAGAAAGGGACTTCAGTAGTACAAGTTAATAGTAGTTTTCTTAATATATTAGGATTAATTTTAAGTGGGGTAAAGATGAGTTACTGTATATATTTCTTATGATTATGTCAATAGTTTCACTAACAGGGACATTGGTAAATAAGTTTTCAACATCAAGTGAAGCCATGATTTCATTGTCAGGTTTTTCACTTTTTAGGATTTGGATTACTTCTAATGTTGACTTAACACTATATTTACTAGGAAGATAGGGAGTAATAAGTTGGTTGATGTATTTTGTTAGATGATATACAGGAGTTGGAATTTGCGATATGATAGGACGGAGAGGATAGTTAGGTTTATGTGTTTTTTTAGTGCCATATATGTAGCCAGGTCTATAATCACCAACAATTTTAGGGAGTTTTAAAGAGTTCTGTTCAGCATTATTAGCATTAATAAGTTTATTAAACTTTGATTTTAGTTGGTTGGTCGGGTTCTTGTTAAGTTTTTTAAACTTTATGTGATCATGGAGTATGTGGTCTAGTTTTTTGTTGTAATCCAATTTGTTTAGGATGACAAAATGTTGGTCTTATCAGCTTTTTTTACATAATGTCAGGGTGGTTACGTAGTTCTTGTGCGGCAATTTTCAGTTGTTTAGAAAGAATTTTTGAGGAGTTTCTGCTTTTATCATGTCGATCTTTCAGTGCCTCGGCCTTAAGTAAATCTTTAAATTCTGGTGTAGTTTCTATTATTTGTTCATCCTGGAGTTTAACGATGTTTTGGTATAGGGTCTCAATTTCTATTTTTTTAAAAGTCGATTGTACTTTACGGTATATATGGTAGTTAGGTCAGGGTTAAGATAATTCTTTTGGTGCTTAGTTAGTTCATAGTTGGAAAGGTTAATGTATTTATCAGTTTTGTTAGGAAGAGTGATATTACCTTTGTATAATGTATTCAGTTTTTTTTAATTTTAATTCGGTGTTGAGCTTCAGATTTATTGGTAATTTCCGTGAGTCTATGTGTAATTTCCTCCAGTTGGTCCGGGGGTAGTTATATCCTGTAGTTCATCGTAAATGTCCTGTTTTTTGCTGTTAAAGTTGTTTAATTTTTCTTTGGATATTTCGATTTGCCTTTTCACAAGGCTACATTTGTAATTCAAGTATTAATAGTATTGTGGGCTGCTGGATCATGTAATTTAAATTTGTGTATTTAGGCAGCATATTTTCATTTATACACGTTTCATTAAATAATATAGACAAGTGTTGTCTATTTATTTTATGTAAAATTTTTTTTTTGTATCTTCTGATAAGTTTGGTAACATTATCATTAACCGAAAAAGAAATTCACAATATTTATCCATTATTTTTTAAAAAAATCTAAAGTTTCGGCTTACTCAAGCCATTATCAAAGATGTAATTACAAACATATCAAACAATATATGGACACGACAGTGATGATATAGTCTGTCATTGTTTAGTTTACATAGTGGATCACTAAGCAACGATGAACACGTATATATAAGACGCTAGAAGCTATATATATATGTATGTATATATATATATATATATATATATATATATATATATATATATATATATATATATATATGTGTATAGATATAGATAGAAAAAAACATATTCAGAAAGATATTTATGAACAGAATGAGATAGATATATAGATAGAAAGGAACGGATTTAGATAGATAGACAGATAGATATTGAAAAGACGAAAATAGATAGATAGATAGATATTGAAAAAACGAAGATAGATAGATATTGAAAAAACGAAGATGGATAATGAAAAGACAAAGACAGACAGATAGATAGATAGATGATAGATGATAGATGTATAGCAGCAAAATTGTCCAATTGTTAGATTAAGCTTTGAACCGTTGTATCTTCGAAATCTTATTGGAATTCTCCGACGTTTTTATAACACTACCGGACTCTACTTTGAACAATAAGAATGTATTTAACTCTAAAATGAAAATATGATCGCTCTTGCTGTTGTGACCTCCTGATCCAGTTTTCCTCTCTACTGTTCCTACTTTTTTTTTTTTTTAAACATATTCATCATTCTCTTGAGGGTTCTTGAATGAACATTGAAGATGGAAGTCAGAGTATCTCGTAGCGATTTGGATTTAAGACATTGTTTCTTTGCTTAGTGAACTCACACGTACACATAAACACACACACACACATACATATACATTCTTGGTAGATTTTCTATTATCACAATTTAGAATATTTAATCAAAATAAAGAAATATATAATAAGAAAATATATACAAAAATATATACAAAAAAAAATAAAAAACTAAATGGAACAGAAACTAAAAGTATAGAGTATAGACTGATCGTAACGTAATTTAAATTTTAATGTATATATATATATATATATATATATATATATATATATATATATATATATATATATATATATATATAGGCAACAATCCTTCCGGTTAAGCTTTTTATTTAATTTTTCTTGTGTCCTGGCAAGAGCTTTCTTTTTCTGGACAAAGGTTGTGTAAGAACTTTGCAAATGTTTTATATTTCCGAGCGCTTTCGGCTATACCTTTAGCCATTATCAAGGAGGATTTTATTTTTCAGTTTAATTGGGTGTGTGCGTTCTGTGTATGTCTTAGTGTGTGGTAGGGATGTTTTTAATTTCCGAATACGGTTAGCACATCGTGGCTTTGTTCGTAGTTAATATTGTTAAGAGTTGGCTTTTTCTTTTTTATTATTAAAGCTCCCATTATTTTTAGTCTTTTTTTGCAGGTGGATGCAGCTAATATATTTGTGTTTTCTACTAGTATGTTTCTAATGGAGTCTTGTAAAT